GGTCCCAAAAAATGTTGTTTATTCTGAATGTTGGACCAAGTAATGTTGTTTAGATTGAATTAGATTTTATTATGAATGTGGTCCCTAATATTGATGTTTATTCTGAACCCTTGTTTCTATTACAGACCAAGTCAAAAGCAAGGCATTAGGATACAATTTCATCTTAAGGGAAAGTTAGTGTTTGAACCTGCGAAATGATATGTTAACGGGGTAACTTCTGAAATGAATTGGGAATGGGATATGGATTATGTGTTGTATATGCAATTGAGAGAGTTGATTCACAATGAGGGATATACCAATATTAAGTGTTTATGGTATTGGAACCCCAAGTATAGTTTTTCATGTGGCCTAAGACACCTAAATTTTGATCAAGATGTGTTAAAATTTGTTGCTGATGTTAAGGATTATGATGTTGTAGATGTGTGTGTAGAGCACTTAGTTTGTACTCTAGATATTATAGATGAGGCTGAGCTAGGAAAGGAAGATGTGGATGGAAAGGGAAATGAAGATGTGGAGGGAAAGGAACATGAGAATGTGGAGGCTAAGGAAGATGAGAATATGGAGGGAAATGAAGATGCTGACTCTAAGGAAGATGAGGATGTGGAGGGAAATAAACATGAGAATGTGGAGGTTGGAATAGGAAAGGAAGATGATAATGTGAATGGAAAGGAACATGACAATGTGGATGATAATGGCAATGATTCATTAAGTGAAGGTGACAATGAATATGTTGCAAGTGAAGGTGAGAATGATTCATCAAGTGAAGGTGAGGATAACTATGTTACAAGTGAGGATGACACTGATTCAATCAATATGGATTGGACCACAGTGCTACAAGGTTGTTAAAATGTGTGTCAAGTTTCTAAGACAGTGTGTCAAGATGGTGATGATGACTCTGGTCAGCTACATACACCTCCCAATAGTGGGGATGATGAAGAAAATGAGAAACTCCCAACTGATAGAAGTGGTGAAGGATTAAAATTTCAACTAGGTATGGTTTTTAACAACAAAGATTTAGTGAGAACGGTTGTAAAGGAGTATGCAATGGATATGAAGAAAAATATCTCCATTAAGAAAAATGATGCCAAGAGGATAGTAGTTAAGTGTATGAAAGGTTGTAATTTCTACATGAGACTTAGTAAAAGGGTTGGTAATCAATTTTGGCAAGTTGTTAGTCTTATAGATGAACATAGTTGTTGTAGAACACCTAAGAATAGGCAAGCAAAAACAGGTTGGCTAGCTAAGAAATTTAAATATATTTTAAGACATAACCCTAATATGAAACCTGTGGGTTTGATAGCTGATTCATTTGATAGATGGGGAGTGAAATTGTCCCATGATTGAGCATATAGAGCCAAAAGGAGGGCAATGGATATGATTCAAGGAGCTGGAATTAATCAATTTTCACATTTGAGAAGTTATGCTGAAAAGTTGTTTAAATCAAACCCCAATAGTACAGTTCTGGTGCAGTGTGCTGACTCTAAGGAAGGACCTATGTTTGAAAGGATATATATTTGTTTGGAAGCCTGCAAGTATGGATTTTCCAAATACTGTAGGCCACTTATCGGGTTAGATGCTTATTTTTTGAAGGGTGACTTTGGTGGGCAATTGATGGCAGCCATAGGCAGGGATGGAAATAATCAGATTTTTTCTATTGCATATGCTATTGTGGAAGCAGAGACAAAAGCATATTGGGAGTGGTTCATATACCTTCTACTTGAAGACTTATGTGAAATCAAGCACATGGCTTATGTCTTAGTTTCAGATGAGCAAAAGGTATTCCTTACATATTCATTTTGATATTCATCTAATAATATTGTAATGTCATAATATTTTAATGTCATACTTTGCAGGGTTTAGTACCAGTTGTTCAAAGTGTAAGTGAACATGTGGAGCAAAGACTATGTGTGAAGCATCTCTATGGCAATTGGAAAAAGAAACATCTAGGACTTAAATTAAAAGAGGCAATATGGAGTGTTGCAAGAGCTACAACCGTTCCAGTATGGGAGAGGGCAATGCAACGATTAAAATCTTTGAAAGAAGCAGCTTGGAAGGATATGTTGGACATCCCTGCTCACTTATGGACCAGGTCACATTTCAAAACATACCCTAAGTGTTATCTACAAGTTAATAATATGTGTGAGGCCTTCAATAGTGCAATTCTAGAGTGTAGGGATAAACGCATAATCACTTTGTTTGAGGGTATTAAACATTACTTGACTAAGAGGATTAATAGTCAAAAGGAGCTTATGAATACATACACTGGTGATATTTGCCCTAGTATTCAATTGCTTCTTGAAAAGAACAAAAAAACATGCAGAAGGTTGGACACCTACATGGCATGGTGATGATGATTTGTCCATCTTTGGTGTCACCAATGGTATAGAGGCATACTTTGTAGATCTGAAACAGCAGACATGTGCTTGCAGAAAATGGGATTTGACTAGTATTCCATGTAGTCATGCCATATCATGTATATGGCAAAACAAGAAAAAACCTAAAGATTGTGTCTCTGAGTATTACAGGTTTGTGCATTCACCATATAAATCTATTTATTATGTTTGCTTAGTATGACTAAATCTGTTTATTATTGGTTGTGCAGGAAGTCACATTTCAATAACAATTATTCTCATATAATCTACCCTACAGATGGGCCCCAGCTATGGCCTTTATTGGAGGGTCAGGTACCAATCAAACCACCAGTGCTCAGAAGGGTCATTGGTCGACCCAAGAAGCTAACGAACAAAGTGAATGATGAACCAAGAAATCCACATGTACTTCCTAGGAAGCTTACAACTGTGAGCTATCATAAATGTGGTGCTATGGGACACAGCAAAAGAAGTTGCAAAGGAAAAAGGGTTGTTGAGAGAGTCATTCCCAAAGGTGATAACAAGAAGAAGAGCAATGCATCAAAGGATGGAAAGAGACAAAAACTTGAAACAAAAGGTGGAAAGAAGACAAAGGCAGCTGTAACAGAAATTGGGAACTCATCACAAGCACCTCAACCTTCTCAAAATTAGTTCAAATTAGATTCTATGTAATGAGTTTGTAGTCATTTTTTCATCGGTTTGTTGTCCATGTATTGGAACAAGTTATTGTTTATGTAATTACTTAATGATATCTCTATGAAGTAATGCTCAATTTCAACTTCCTTGTCAGTTAATTATACAATATTGGAACTAACATGTCCTTTAATTCATCACCACCTTCATAAGTAATGACTATAATTGGAACATGTACTAGGTTTGATCATGTTGGTCAAGTTAGAGATATATTAGGATCTCTTAAAAGTAGCTAAATATATGAGGGGGGAAAATGCATTTTTGCAAGTTTTGAGTCTTTGAGTCGACTCATATCCTGCTTAGGTCGACTCATACATAAGTCATTTTTTCATGTATTGCTCTCAAGAGAGCTTACATCGACCCTCCAGTCGACTCATACTGTGTGCATTTGTGATTGTCTAAATTGGGGTCCTGTGTATCGACGCATGACCTGTTCCGGTCGATGCAAAGTGTTATTTTCTGCATAGTTCTGAAATCGGGAGAGCTCAGGTCGACCCTCCCCTTGCTATAGGTCGACCGCTCGCGTGTTTTTCACCAAAATTCTGTTATGTGAAATTTTCAAAGTGTTTGTTAAGTTTGTTAATTGTTCTCACATTTGCATAAGCAACATGACTAATTGGAACATGTCCTATAAGCAACATCAGCTATAATAATCTGCTATAAAAACTATATAACCAAGATACCATATAAACTATAAAATAAACCAAAAATAAATCTCATTCTCATTCATCAATTCATGGGTTACATTCATATAAACTATAAACATATTAAACCAAAAATCATCATTCTCATTCATCAATTCATGGGTTACATTCATACAGTCAAATTCATTACACTTGTTACAATTAAACCGTAAACATACTACATCATTTTTAACCACAACCTACTTCATTACACTTGATACAACTAAACCTAATAACATTACAAAGCTCATAACACATGTAAACTTCAGTTGCATATTAAGAAACATGATCTTCATCTTCAACTCATCCTCTTTAATCTTGCATTCATTAACCTTATTCTGCTCTGAGCATAATTTTTCCTTCAAAGATGTAATCATTTCTTTTGCTCTTGATGTCATCTCTTCGCCCTACCAAACAAAATGGTCACACCTCTTTTGTCCCACAAGCTACAGGTAATATATGAGAGAGAAAAAACGTAAGTCATTTTCATGATTGGAGAAAGTATAAGTGATAAATCATAGACAAATAATATCTTATACATCCCACGTCTATAAAAACGTCGTCCTAGGTTAGAATTAGTCCATGATGTCATCAGTGGTGCTTCTAGGCCGCACAGACATTCGTCATGGTTCGATTTGAAGTTCGAATGAGATTTTGTACGACTGCTTGCTTGAAAAAAACAAGACATGGACAAGACGAAGTAGAAGATGTGGAGAAAATGAAGTATAAGACATGGAGGAGAATGAGTAGTAGCAGAATTTTTAGAGATGAGTAAAGGGATAAACACTATAAAATTAGGGTTCTTCATTATGTAGATTGTCTAACATTAATTTTTGTTTTTTAAAATATTAATGTTTTATTAAAATTTATAAATGACATGACAACTATTTAAATGACTTGGCATCTGACTGACCATACACAATCACCATTTTAAGCACCACATAATCAAAACAGCTGAGGGACTAAAAAAATCCAAAAAAATAACAAATTAAGAGACTAAAAAGCTGAAAAAATTAAAAAAAAAGAAATTAAAACGTTAAAAATTTGTAAATAAAATAACTAAAAGTATATTTAAAGCAAAATAAAAAAATAAAAATAAAAAAGTTGAAAGAGGGAAGCAAATACGACATCGTTCCATGTGAATTCGAGGCTACAACCAGTATCATAGATTCAGTTCACAACTCACTGAAAATCTGAAACAAAACCCTCACAAAACCCTAAACACAGTGTTTCCGATTTTCCAATACTCAACGAAATGGCGTTACGATCTGGATCTCTATCTCGCTCCTTTATCTCTACAGCAAGGAATTCCCTTCGCCCGGTCGCTCCGTCTCCCCTTCCCCGCATCCGTCCGCCGCCACTCGCCGCTCCTCGCATCCAGTCCCGCCTCTTTTCAATGCCTGCCACCACTTCCAGGTCCAAACCCTAACTCACCATTCCATTCTTTTTCCCTAATCGAGTTCAAATTCAACGAAAATGAAATTGCTTGTGAATGTCTTACTTTTGCATATTCTGAATTGTGTGTTTTTGATTTTTTGATGCAGGAATTTAGGGCAATTGGGTTGCGTACAATCACTTTTGCCACTGCATAGCACGATGGCCGTAGCTTGTCTCACTTCTCACATTGTCGTCAGTGCACGAGCTTGCAGCGAGCTGTCGAATGGTATCTTCCGTCGTTCTTGTCAAGATCGCTAATAGTCTCTTTGTGAGTCTTGTTTGTTTTATAGGATGTGTTGTCTATGAAAGTGTTCAAATTGGTTTCTTTGTTGTTTTGCCATATTGATTTTTAGATCACACAAAAATGACTCATAATAGATGCACTTGTGGATGGGTCTGCAATTTAGATACATTTAGGGACTATATTGACAGTTTCTCATACATTCAAGTATCTAAATGATTGTTAACCTTGAGTTTGCGAGTATTGTAGACTATAGATATTTTGATAGCCAGTCCTGTTATGATTCATGTTAAGAGATGGATTGGGTAGAGCTTTGTGAGTTTGGTTGATGATAAGGTATTAAGATTAAGATTTGAATTTATAGGGAGGAATGGAAAAGATGGGTGATGCTCAAGGACGTTGATCATCCAATGGGGAGAGACGAATGCTGCATTGTAGGTTCTCTTTTATTACTTTGTTCAAAATTATGAATTCAATAACAATTTTTCAATTAAATGTACAAGTGAGTGAGGGGTTGATGATTTCTATAGATAATCTTGAGCACTATTCAGATTTTCGTCAAGTACTGAATTTTCAGTTTTTAAAAAGTCTCTGCAATCAATTTTGTTTCCCTTGGGCATTTCCATTTTATGTGGTACTCTTATTGTTAATGTTGAAGATGTTTAGTGATTTAGCAGTAATTGATGTAGTCCTCCGTCCTAAGTGAATCACAAACGAAGATTGTATCCCTAATCATTTTGTCATTGCTAGGTTTCATTTTTTAATAACTGTAATTTAATTTTGTTTTTCAAGTTTCTACACCATTCTGGAAATGCTATTGTCAAGATATAAAAATTGTGTGTTTTTCAAGGCGAAATGTAGATGCCTCCCTTATAATGTCGTGTGGATAGGTCAATTTTGTCATTTCTTTTCAATTTATCTCTGCATAAATTTGTTCACTTTCACAAAATTAAAATCCCTGCAAGAGTCGTCCTTGAAATGGCTGGTTGCCCAGTCCTTTCATGAGTTATTCTAATACTACTAATTGGTAAACTCCATTCCTTTCACAGGTGATCCTGATTCCTGAGGTGATGTTCTAAATTCTTGTTTATTATTATGGTTAAACTTATAATCAAATGAGAATGACCAACCTCTTTGTCCCAAATACTTTACTTTGAAAAATGAAAATTTTGTGGTAATGAAGTTTGCTTTCTGTTTGAAAAAGACAATTTGAAATCTTCAGGCAGCTTGGCATGGATGATTTCAACCTCTTCCCATTCGTTTTGATATTCAGTTTTCTCTACCTGTTTTTGTCATAAATAAAATCAAAATTCGTATCAACACTACTTACTACTTAAGGTCTTTATTGGAAGTGCTTGTGAGGGCATAATTTGTGAAAGTGGAGTGATCTGATGATGGGTTTAGCAATAGTCTAAAATCCTAATGCCCTGTAATACTAATGCTTTTTTATAATTTACTTTTCTGATGTTGCAGTTACTTGAGCAAGCTAGATGGCCAATAATTATAGGGAGTATTATCTGGGACGAAACAGTTGTAAGAATTATGAACAAGACTCTCCACCCAATTTGTTTTTTTTTTTTTAACTCCGGAAGAACGAATCTGGTTTGTTATTTTCATACTGCGAGAGCATTCAAAATTAGTTATTGATTCTTGTTGTATCTGGTCTTTGGTTATAAATGATGTTGGTTCCTTTCAACTATATTTTGGAATGATATTGTTGTTATTCATTACATGCTTTAAAGAACATGGAAATGAAAACACTAGTAGAGGATTTTTGTCAGACAATTTGGTTGGGTATTGGCACAAATATTAAGTGGTACACTCACTATCATAGATCTGGATACTAGAATTTCAGCTTTAACAAAATCTCTTGCTTTTCAATACTTGATTTTTTATTTCAGAATAGAGATGCTTCTTTTCATCTGTATCCTATACTAATATCAACTTCAAACAATTAAGCATTGATGAGCATCTGATATTAGGTTCAGGTAGAATTTTCTTCTTGCTTTCAGATTTGTGAAATCAGTCGAAATACACATATTTCAGAAGCTCTTGAAATTATTCTTCTATAACCGATATCACAATCCATTCAGTCAGTAACACAATCCATTCATACACATTGGTTTTGATTCGATGGTTATCAACAATTGACGTTTAATCATGTTATATCTATTTTGCAACACTATGAAATCAAGTAACCATGTAGGAGAAAATCAGATCAATAGAATTGAAGAAAAGAATTGAAAAATAGTAGGGGAGGGTTTTGAAAAAAGGAAGTATAGAGGGGAAAGAATGGAAGGATTTTGGGATGATGGATTTTGAAAGGTTTACTTTTATTCCTAGAACAAAATTATTCTAATTTGAGAAATTAAAAATTTGTATTGAATGAGGGATTTGATAAGTTTTTGAAGGATTTTGATAAATTCTTTAAATATAATCTGTTATAATATTTTAAAAATTAAAAATATCCAAATGATAAATATTATTTTATTATTATATACAAAAAGAAAATTAAAAAAAATGCTAAATATTTTAATATATTTTAAAAAAATTTGTTTTTAGAAATCTTCTCTTCCCCTGTCCTAACTCGTAGACAGAGTCTTAGGGGTAATTTTTAAAAAATAATTATTTTTTGATATTTACAATTTCAAACCATTATAAAATTAGTTTAAGGTAATCAAAATGGCTTGAATGACAGGGCATAATACACGTTATTATAAAAAATAAAAAAATAAAAAAAGTGATACAGTATTATATGAGTACATGCACAAGCGAATTTCAAAAGTAATATTCACTTTTTTAATCAAAAAAGTTTATTGAAGTGGGTCTAGTGTCTAGTCCTCTTTATAAAATACAAACATTTTATTAATGTTAACCAATATAATTTAAAAGTGGAATCATAATGGGCAAGTTAAAATTAATGGCAAAGTAAGAGAAAACACTGAATTTTTCATTTAATTGAAAAAACTCTATTAATTTTTATCTCAAGACATTTTCTATGGGTAGTGTTAACTTTGTAATTTTTAAGTAATTACAAAAAAAGACATAGTCAATTAAATTTATCTTTAAAAAGTTGGTGTACTCATACATCATATATCGGATTTTTTAAAAATTTAGTTTTATCCATGATTTTTTAAAATACCTGAAAAAATAAAATAAATTATTTTTATTGTTTTACTTATTTTATTTAAAGGATAAAATCAAGTGATGATGCAATAAATAAAGAGATCAATTCTCATGCAATTCAATGTTATTGTAAAAAAATTTACATAATCAATCAATCAATTAAGACTAATTGTAAATTTAAAATATATTTATAGTGACAGTGCATTTTAATTATTTCATAAATTAAAAGTAGAAAGACAAATTATATTTTATTCATTTTAAATAGATTCATTTCTAAAAAAATTAATTTTAATTGTTAAAAAATCAAACATACCAAAATTAATATATACTTCTTCTGTAGTCACTTTTATATTTCTACAAATGAAAGAAAACACATACCAAATAAATCTCTATTTTTAGGTCCTAGAGAATATGAATATTTCAATAAGTTTGTGATTTTTTCAAATTTTACTCATATTAATTCTTCAATATTAATGTTTGAGACTAAATTGATAATAAGTGAGTAAATATCATGACCAAGTTGACAGTACCTTGTATAATATTTGAATTTTACTGATAGTAAGCAATAAGATCTAATGTCTATTTTGAAAGTAATCAAGTTTTATATCCCTAAAGAGAATTAACTATATTGATTAAATTCCGCGACATGTTATATTGAATACTATGTGTTCATCAAATTTGTTAATCTCAAAAAAAAAAAAAATTAATAGCTTTTCTAGTTTTTTCCAAGTAATTTTCTGACATAAACTCTTTGACATCTCTCAATCTGATTTCTTCATTTTACAATAGAACTTACAATTTTATTTTTATATATTTAAATCATCTAAGTTTATTTTCTGTTTTTTTATTATTATTATAACTCCAACACACTCTTTAATATTGATATTTTTAATATTATTTTGTCTATCACACATCCAACGCAACATTTTCATATGTACTAAACTTATTTTAATCTCTAATTAATTTTAATCTGTTTAATATTATGTCTCATAAAACATCTAACTTGGATTTTATAATTTACATACTTTTTTATTGTTTCATCTTTTTATATTACGAGGCCGTGATATTTAAATCGTGTGACACGTGAGAAAATATGATATCTAACCTTCACTTTTAAATTACAAACATTTCTCCTTTTGTTAAATATACATTTCATATACTTCTTATGCAAAATTTATGTATTTACAAGATTTGTCACTAACCTCTTATTTGAATATGTCAATCCTAATTCATTTCTTCCTTTACGACTCCCCACAAAATTTCAATCATAAACATGTTATTTTTAGAAATATTATTACCTAAAATTTTATTTCGACAAATAATCATAATTATAAGAATGTTTATTAAATTTATTTTATTTAAATTTTAGAAATAAAAAATATTAAAATAACGTAGGAGTAAATAGGTATAGTTGATTATATTTATTCTATAAAAATATAAGACTCACATTCTTTATCATGGAAATAAAAAAAATAAAAAATTTAGAAGTAAATGAAATTCTTAAAAATAAAAAGTATCTAAAAATAATTATTAAAAAGCTCAATACCTCTTTTAGTCCCTTAACTCTAGTGTATATTTCGTTTTGCTCCCTTAAGAAAAAAACGTTACATTATGGTCTACTAACTTATACTCTGTTATATATAGTAGTCGTTTCTGTTAGTTTGAGTTGGGAAAACGTTGGAAATTGCACTGCTGGACTTTAAATGGCTTAGGTGAATATTCTATAATTATTTTAATGGATGAGGTGGATTTTGTATTACACATAACATTCATTTTAAGGAGATGAAACATGTTAGGGCATGATAACATTGTTGGATGAAAGCTCAGGTTCAGACAACAACTACATTGTGAAGAAGAACACTAGTTTGAAGACGAAGTTCATTGAAGACGGCGTTTATGACAATACTTGTTTGAAGAGAAAGTTCAAATAGTGACGTTTACGACAACAAGAAAATCCTAAGGTACGACAACAACGCTTCTTTGAAGACGGAGTTCATTGCAGAAGAACAAAGAAGAAGAACTTCATTATTTCACTCATCTGGACAGAAAACCCTAAGGTACGAACTTGCACAAATACGATTCAAAAAATGTTAAATTTCTTTTATACCTAACTTGTTTAGTACTTCTGATACTATATGTAGATTGCTTAGGTCATGGAGATCCGGTTTAAGTGTGTTTCTCATCATTCTAGTGAATTTTCTAGGGAATTTGCAAATTTTACTAAGTCAGGCTATGTAGGGTTAGAGGAGATATGAGATGTT